GAAACTTGGCGTCTGGGAACTGATCAAAAGGGAACAATCTCCCTCGAGTAAGCTTAGATGGCAAAACTTCAGATGATTGTTCAAAACCAAGAATTCTAATAAAGCAAGAAGCACTGAGTGGACTATGACATTTCAATATGCATAACTTAAGTAGCTGTTCTCCATTGTGAGGTGATCTTTGATTTACAGTTGAATCTCTTTTCCCCCAAAGGGACTTGGAGGGCTGTAATTCACATAACACATTATTAATCTGTAGAAAGAAAAATAGTGTTCAGAAAGCTCAGGGTCTCGGAAATGATTGCTCACTTTTAATAGTAAACATGTGAAGAATTTGCAATTTGAGGAAAATAGTTGGCACATTTCTGTCATTCGAGGTGGAAAGACAGTATGATAGCCTGAGTGTATGTGTATAAAACTAAAAACTATAATAAATAAGTCAATGTTATGTAGTGAAAATAAAAATATTGTGTATGTGTGTATGTGTGTGTATAAATGCCTAAATTTTGACCTGTGAGTCAAGAGGATTTCAAGTAAAACCTCAAGAGCCTGTGTTTATGTATTTCTTGTTGATCACGTGGCATTCTAAGATACTGGTATCTTCTTGAGCTCTTATATGCAAATTAAAAAGTTTACAACTGATCCTGAATAAAAATTAATTTCTAATTGGTAAAGTCATTTAGCAAACATCTGCAAAATTTAGTACAAGATATAGTATGATATATTTATTCAGTTGCTTAAGCAAATTGAATATTGTTAAAATAGGAACTTGTAGCTCATAAAAGAGAACGATGTAAATTTAAAAGCTATACCAGACTTAACCCAGGTGATCAAGGTCAATGCCAATAGTGATAAACCATGTTGCTAGTATATATCCTTAATAGGATGTGATAAAAAGGGCGCTTCTGTGGTCTTCCTCCTCAAAACCAACATAACCATTTTTTTTTTTGAGGAAAATATTAGGACAATCTCGATTGAGGGACATTTCACAAAATACTTGACCAATACTCTTCAAAGCTATCAAGGTCATCAGAAACGAGGAAAGTCTGAGAAATTGTCACAGACAAAATGAGCCCAAGGAGACATTCCTACTCACCATACTATGGTGTTCTGGATGGAATCCTGGAACAGAAAAAAGGACCTTAAGTAAAAATTAAGGACATCTGAATAAAGTATGGATTTTAGTTAATGAGAATGTATCAATATTCATTCATTCATTGTAACAAATGTACCATATTAAAGTAAGATATTAATTATAGGGGAAGCTGGGTGTGGGGTGTGTCGGAACTCTGTATATGATTTGTTTCTGTAAATCAAAAACTGTTCTAAAAAATTAAGTCTAAAAAAACTGTTCTGAAAAAAAGAAAGCTACACCAGGACAGAATTTAAGTTAAAATTTAAGGAAACTTTAAAATACTAACTTATTCAAGGAGGCAGAATTCATTTGGTTAGAACTCATATAAACCTTGCATTGATAACTATGCAGTTATCGTAGATGGACCAGATAGATAGTGGTAAAGTGAAAAATCTGGTACATAACTTTGGAGATTTGAGCCGCTTGAGTGGGGCTGGTAAGCAGCTCTGCTTCGAATCCCCTAGGGGCTGACTCGCCATCAAAATAAGACTCAGAGCCAAAGCCCCGTGAGAACTTAGGCCTGGCAGAAAGTATAGAATTGAGAAAATAAAGATTTTAAAAGCATAGGGTTAACATTTTTTATATTGAGAAAATTTGGATATGTTTGGTATTTTATGTACTTGTAAGTGAAAAGTTTGGCTTATGAGAGCGAGTGCCTCATAACTAATTTAAAATGTGTAATTGAGACTTACGACTTTTAAGTCGAAATCTTACTAAGTGTATGCTTATTAGTGAAACATCCAATGAATCTCTAATCTCACTATATTCATAAGCTTCATTTATTAGATTGGTAATAATTATTTAGTACTTAGGAAAGAACTTAAAAAGGAAATAGAATTTCTAATGTAGTTTGAAAATGTAAGATGCTTAAGTTTACAAGTGGGATCAAAGTCCCCTTAAAAGTAAATGATAAAATTTGGTAGACTTACAACTTTTAGTGGAGTAATAAAATTACAAGCTAAACTGAAAAAGTCGAGTGCCCCCAGGCCTTCACCACTCTGCTGCATCCACAGCATGATGTCTCTGAGACTTAGGGCTTGTCACAGGAAACCCTTGTCCCCACCTACTCCAGAAAGACCTGTTTTCTCCATCTCCCAACATGCCCTTCATCTTTCAGTGATAGAAAATATTTAACTTCTGGACAGCCATATTAATAGCCTAATGGATATATAAGAACACATTAGATGACCATATATTTTATTGTCTGAATCAGGACATATTTGAAAGTGAAAGGGGGTACTATTAATTATTATTCTTGGGCAATAGACTTAAACCAGGATCGTCCAGGGCAAACCGGGATAAGATCCCGCTAGTTATAAATGTGTGATTTGTAAATATAGGAGAAGAAAGTGAAGAACTCAGCTTCCAGTGTAAGACAGTATCAAGTGTCAACAAAATATTAGATCCTCTGTTTTACTGGAAGACTATTAATAGCCGTTCAAATGTGTTATCATCAATACTGTCAAATAGCCTTCTATTAACCTAGGACTGTAAGTTCTTCCTTCTCCGTGTATCATGAGGTTTCTTCTTCCTATCTGGGGTGTCACAAGACTTTCTCCTCCACCAACTACAAGGTAATTATTAGTGTTAAGTTATACTTGCATATAAAAGTCAACCTGTAATTACGAGTGAAGAAATTGAGGGTGATGGTTGTCTAGCTGCTGGTTGGTTCAGGTTTCCCCAAATGCAGATTCTTATAATCCATCCTTATTTTACTGAGCTTGTGGTCTTTTATTTTTCCACAATTACGTACATACACGCGAAGGGATCCAGCATCTTCCTGGCTATCTTTTTTCTCTATAAACTACCTGATACCATTTACATGGTCTGCCAAATGTGTGGTCATGTCATTTTCTATCCAAACACAATAGATTTTTGGCAGTTAATCAGATTCTGGTGTGGTCCCATGTTATGGGGAAAACAGGGTGACATGGACACTTAGGCCCAGTGCCATCCCAGGGACTCAGCAACCTGCAAACCAGGTAATAGTGTGTCCGTCTGGCTCAGAAACCCCACCGGAGCCCGTACACACAGCTCATTTCATTACAGCCAAGCGCTTCACCCTAACCGCAGTGCTCTGGGTATTTCTTTTGGACGTGGCCTGTCTCATTTGCAGGAGGGTTACTTACCTGGTGAGAGCCGACTATTCCCCCAGATTACCTAAAATTTCCTCATTAAGGTTTTGTCTTTTAGGGCTAAGAATAAGTACAAGTGACCTTATCATACTGAAAGCAACAATTTCACTCAATCTTTCGTGTGAAAATGTTTGATCTGATAATCCTCCCCAACATCTGGCTGAGATCTAGAGAGAATGCAGAGGAGTTTGATGCAGGTGGTTGGGGTTTAGGGGGTACAACGGACCAATCCAAAAGGTGAGGTTCTGGGGAGCCAGAGAACAGCCTGAAGATCCTCCAAAGACAATTGGCCTTGGAACAGCCTTTTGTCATGAGGCCATAGTTCCATAAGCTAAGGGTTTTGCTGGGTGAAGAGGGGGATATGGGTTTTCAAAATAATAGTCAAGAGATTAGGCAACAAAGGGTAGGTATGGAAACTCTGTTTTTTCCTCCCACTTTTATATCTAATGCTTCTCCCTAGTTAGCCCTGTTTCAGATAACCCAGTGACCTTTCCTGGGAAATTTGGTGCCATAAACCTTGGTTTTGATTCCACCAGGAGAGGAGTTGTTGGGTTGGGCCCCCGATGATGCCCCCATCTCTCAACTTTTATTTTTTATCTGCAGACTCTGCTCAGGCTTCCCAGTAAGCTGCCACCTGCCACCCTCCACCCAACCTAAGTGAAAAACCAAAGCTATTTCTTAGCAATTTTAGCTTCGCCTCAGCTGCTGTAGAAGAGGCCCCCTGCCAACCCCCTCTTCTTTGAAGAAACACGACTGAGACCAAGTGAGAAGTAGCTACAGTTTAATACAAACCTGCACCAGAACGCAATGTGTCGGGCTGTTTTGTTTTGCCTCAAACAGGTGGCCAAAGCACAGGACCATGTTGTCTTGGGGTTGACACAATCTTAGCACCATGACTTTTACAGAGTGAAGAAGTCACTTGGGTGCTGGGGTATTGGAGGCTCCATCCCGGCCCCAGGCTGTGCTTGCTGCCTGGGCAGCTGGAGGGGGTTTGGGTTTCTGCGTGGTTCTGTGGTTTCTGGGTCAGTATTGGAAAAGCCCTCATCACGGCATTGGCTTGACAGAGACCTACTGTGGACTCCTAGCACTACACACACGCACACACACACACACAGTAGCACAATTTTCTGGTAACTTAACCCCACAAACCTAGAGAGCAGCTAAGGCAAGAACAACAGTATTTATTCAGCAAATACAAGACCAGTTTGAGAGCTGCATTCAGTGCAACCAGAGACCCTTTTCATTCCAACCAGGAGCCAGCAGGGCTGGTGATGGAGCGGGCTGCGACTCTGCACAGGGCAAGGAGCGGGTGGTGGGGGCTGATCGTTCATTTGGTTCCTTGAACCTCCTGATTTTCATCCAGAAGCTCCTGGGCAAGGGTGGGGTCTATGTAAGGATCAGGGGTGGATGAAGTGGAAGGCGTACGGTGGACCACTCCAAGATGTGGTCTCCCACAGCCACAGGCCATGCATCTCTCGGGCGGAGGCACTCAGGGAAGATAAAGCTTTCCTAGCCCAAGCAGGGATGCTGTGCCCGTGGGCCACCGCCACTGCTTGGCTCTTTGGCATCTGCCCAAGACCCATGACCCAGCAAGGGCTGAAAGGGGATAAAGATGGACAATGTGCATTGTACCAAGGGGTCAGTGTCGAAGTTTCCCAGGCCCAGATCCCTATCCACTGGCCCCATGGCCGCCACCCTCTGTGAGTACCTTTGCTTGCCCTGGGTTACTGTCTCCGTCATCTCAGCCCCTAAGAGAGGAAGATGAGCATGAAGGGACAAGTGAGGATGTGGAGGCAGGTCAAACCACATGGCAAACCTCCAACAGGTAACTAGTTCTGGCTCAAAGAGTGAATGTGCATTACAAGAAAAATCTATGTGTGCAAAACAAAGCAGAATGCCTACCAGGGGAGTAAGCCTTCTAATTGGTTAAACTCTCAGTGGGATCTCCAAGAGACATCTTCCCGCACTCCTCCTTTCCACAGCTAGGGTGGACAGCCATGCTCTTACGTGTAGTCATGGACACTTCTGGGGTCAGTTCTAAACTTGCTAAGCCTCATCTATGAAGTAGGGGGAATAATATATGCTCTGCTGTCGTGAGGAGCAATTGAGAGCTTGTATATGGAAATGCTTTGAAAACATAAAAAGCACAATAGAAAATAGAAAAGCAGAATAGAAATGTGCCAGGTATGACCACTCGCCCAAGAGTCCAGGAGCCACGTGTAGCCTGGGGTGCTCAAACTGAATGTGCAACGTGAAATCACTTCCCCGGGGGGAGAACAGGGCTTAATGAGGGCAGGTGGCTGGGGTACTTGCCAGCTCACTGAGGGTAGATGGAGATCACCTAGCCTCTAGTGTTTCCACGGAAATCTCCTGAAGCTGCGGAGGCAGGGAGGGCCCAGCTGGACATGGGAGGAGATGGAGGCCACAGCAGGTGAGGGTGTGGTGCTGACCACAGGAGACCACAGTACCCCTGCAGCAATGTGGGTTCTATAGCCAGGTCCCGCTGGCCTGGTCTCCTTCCCTGGCACCCAGCTAGCCCACCACCCTAGTCTTGCTCCCCCTCTCTTAGCAGGCATCAGGCCTTTTGCCAATCACACAGGTGGAGCGGCTGGGCCTCTGTCCAGCAGGGGGAGTTTACGGAAAGCCAGGTGTTAGTGCTGGGAGTGACCGGGGCCAGAGATGGGAAAGGCCACCCTGCTCCCCAAAGGTCTCCAGGGCCAGCATCCTGGGCACCCTATCAGAATGTAGGGACTAGACCAGGAGAGGAATGGATGGGAAGAGGGCCGGGGACAGGGCCTGTGGCAGCCTGGAAGACTCCAGGTCCGGGGAGAAGGGCCTATAAGTCCAGCACCCGCTACCCTCCTTCCCCTCTCTGCCCTAGGCTGTCTGGTTGGTGTCGAGTGCAGCATCTCCTAAGGTCCACATCTATTCCTGTTTCTATGCTATGCTAGTGACACGAAGCACCGTTATTTTTCACAGGATGCACAAACAAGTCAAACCAAACCACTGCGCAAACCAAACGTGCAAAACAAAATCATGTACACGCGCCTGGCACCAGCCTTGCGCCCCACCCAGCAGCCCTCCTGGGCCTGGTTCCCAGAGGGTGGGGTGGGGAGAGGAAGAAGCTGGTAAAGGGTGCAGAGTATTCCAACCACACCCACACCCAGGGTGTCCCCACCACACCCACAATAGGGGCTAGAGGTGAGTCAGGAAGAACGGGACACCCTGGGCATGGTTGGGCAGCTAACACCTGTCTGACTTGAGGAAGCTGACCACGAGGCCTAAGGGGATGGGGAAGGGAGTCCTTTTAAAATACATCTGCTAAAGTGCTCTGGACAACTGGCAGGTCAGCCAGCGGCAGGGCACTAAAGTCTGCGCTTTCCCGAAGCCAGCACGTGGAGGCAGGTGTGAGGAGGGGCCGGGCCGGGCTCTATGCGTTGGGCTCTGTGCATAGTGTGGGCTTCCTGGGCTCCATGAGGCCAGGGCAGGAAAAGACTGCAGCAGGAGGAACACATCTCAAAGTGCCTGTTAGGGTCGGCTCGAAGCACAGTGAATCACGCGTCAGACATGGGGAGGGCTCCCCGGGGCCGGTGGCCCCTCAGGTGGTGAGCTGCCCAGCCCAGCCTCTCCCACCCCTGCAGCTTCAGACGGAGGGTGTGCGGGCTGGTGGCAGCGGTGCATCTTCACTTGGGGGGGCTAGTCAGTGCCTTTACCAAATGCCGCTTGACCTGCCTCCAGGGGGAGCGAGGATCCGAGCCGAAGCTCGCTTTGGAACATGGTCGTCGATCTGAGAACCTGCAGGGAAGGAAGCAGAGGGTGAGCTGGGTGGCTCTTGCCTGGGCCATGACAGCTCAGCCACCTCCCCTGGTGGAAGCTCTAAGGCTCTCGGTGTGTATGATCTGTCTTAATCCTCATAACTCCTCCTTCTCATTTTACAGAAGAGGGAACCGAAGCTCAGGGAATTTAAGTAACTTGCCCAATGTTACAGGTGTTAAGTGGCAGAGCCTGAATTTGAACTCAGGTCTTCCTGATTCAGAGCCTTCACGATTAACCATCCTACTGTGCACCCTTTACTGCTCCCAAGCCTGGACATGTGGTCTCTCATCTCGTACACAGAGCAGAGATCATCAGCCTATTAGCAAGTGGGCCTTTGTACATATGCCTCAGTGAGTAAAACAGAGAAAATGGGAGCGGGCTCCATTGCTTTGGAAAATCCAAGAACTACACTCCAAAGAACATCACATCTTGAAATCTCAAGACTTAGTTGGAAAAGGAGGCTTGGTGCCCCAGGGAGCACAGTCTTCTGCCTGCCCCATTGAGGACAGACAAGGTTTGGGCAGAGGGTAGGCGGGAGGCTGCCTGATGTTTGCTGAGTCTGCGAGTTCTGTCCAGTCTCGGCTCTGCCCGGGTACTTGAGTGGGTGCAGAAGCCAATGGCCAGTAGGGCCCATGGTTCTGGGGACCTTTTCCTTTGGTGGGGCTGGCTGCTGCAGCAAGGGCCATGCCCAGGCAGCCTGGGAATCCACACCTCCGGGGTGGGCAAGGCCGAGTGCCCACGGCCTCCTTGCTTGTGTCCTATTGCTGCTCCCTGGAGTGTCAGTGGGCCTCAGGGCCGGGGAGCTGATATCTCAGTGATGAGATTTGCTCTGAGAGGAAGAAAAGAGTGGTTGAGAGGACCCCTCCCACAGGCTATCAGCTCCTCAGACAGGAACCAGGTGACTTCTGCCAGGAGCTGTTCCCAGCACACAGCTGGGCACAGAGGATGCTCAGCCTCACTCCCTTGGCGTCCCTCTGGTTTCGCTCTCTGCCTCTCAGGTTAGGACAATTTGTGTGCGAGTTTCATCAGCCCCAGTAAACGCCACGCTCCGTGGGGGGAGGATCTGAATCTCGCTCCTCTTGCTGTTCGGGCCCCAGCACAGTCCTAGCAGAGCAGATGCTAGGTCTGTACCTGGGTGAGGCCTGACGGCCCCTTTCTATCGAAACTGCCTGCAGGACCAGCATCGTATGGCCTCTGCTTGTTCTCCATTAAGGGTTGCCATTTATGCGACAACAACTCCCCTAACTTGAAATACTGCAGAGCATCTGGGATGCGAGTTGCTGACAAGAAAGTCCCTGAGCAGACACACCACATATATTATATATTTTATTATATGTAATACAATTCCTCCAAAAAAGGTGACAGTGGGGCAAATGTGGGGATACGATGAAGGAAGAGAATAAGGGAAATATCAGGTCTTTCAGAGAGGCTGGCAAGGAGCGGGTATGGGAGAGGGTAATGGGGGTGCAGTCTCATGTAGCACTCAGAGGGTTACGAGCTCGGATCAGCTCTGGGGCACACCCTTTGTGCAGGGCCCTTAAGGTGCTTCAAGGGACAAAACTATCTGAACTTAGAAACCATAGGAGACTCTCCCACAGGCCACGGCCTGTTCGAGTGGTGTCCAGGGACTGGGAGAGCCCTCCCACCCCCTTAATGTGTGTGTGTGTTTCATACAGGACCCAGAGCTCATCACTGGACATGCGATAGGGGAGGGAGGAGATGAAGGGAAAAGCAGCACAAATCCCCCTGCCTGGCTGGGCCTCCTGGCCCCTCAGCCCTCCTCCTGCCGCCCCACCGTGGTGGAGATGAAGGTGTCAGTCCCAGCGGCCCCTGCTCTTACCAGACAGGCTGAAGCTGGATTCATGAAGGTCCCTCATGCCCCCGTGTCGTGTAACGGGCCGGGTAGGAGTGTCTGCGAGTGGTGTCCCCATCTCTTTTTTCCCAGGATGCACGACGACAGCTACATCCCCCAGGTAGGGAGTGCGGTCTACTCCCTTCACCTTTAAGGTCTAGTGAAGGATGGAGAGAAGGAAAAGGGAAAAGACGACACCATCAATCCTCAGAGCCCAGACACCACCACCACCAGGGCCTCCTGGATGGCTGACAGGGCTCCAGACGCTGCCATTCTGCTCGGGACCCAAATTACTGTGACAAAGCCTTCCTATACCTTGAGCACAGGGAGTGAAGAATTCTTTTCTTGTACCTCCTAAATAGTTCATGTGCGCATATATGTGCCTGTGCACGTGTGTGCATACATACATGTGTGCATGCAGAGGATATCCGCTGGCTACCCCTTAATACTGGCCGAATCCTTTCCAAGGTAGCAGGTAGACTTCTGAAATATTTAACCTGAGAGCAACCCTCACGTGCGGCATCATCATCCCCTCACTTGCCCGGCTCCCAAGAAGCCATGCCTTTTACTGTGATCTGACACCTTTGTGGAATAGAGGCTAAATACAGCCAATTTGGAGATGAGAATTCCCAGTTGCAATACTATTTAATTTTGTACTCACAAAGGCAGTAGAGTCGAGCCTATATTCTGCAACCAGACTGCCTAGGTCCTAATTCCAGCTTGGTTACTTGTAAGCTGTGTGACCTTGAGCAAGTTACCTAACCTCTCTGTGCCCGTTTCCTTTTTAGTAAAATTAGGATGATAAGAGTACCTATTACTATGTATAGAGTTGTTGTGAGATCCAATGAAATAATATACATAAAGCTCTTAGAATTGCTCTGGCACATGGCAAGTGACACCTAAGTACCAGCAGCTATTATTGCCGAAGTCATTTAAGGGTGCTTAATCGTATTATAAAGCACTTTTGTGAGGAGAAAGAAGTGTGTTGGAGTGCATGCATAAGGCCTGAAGGAGCAGCATAGATAATCTGCAACCAAGGCATCTGTCAGGGACATAACCTCCATCTCCTTGCTGTTTGATGCTAATTGAAAATCTTGTTGAGGGAAACAATAGATGTGATTTCTTGAAGGCTCTTCAATCTACACATTTCTTTGCATTCTATGACAATAGACCTGTAGTTTAGCTCAGTCCTCAGAATGTCAAAACTGGTCTGAAGTGTTTCGGCCTGTGCCAGGCTGCACTTAGGCATCTGGCTTTGGTGGCAGGGGTCCCGGTGGTAAAGGGCACAGGCCCTAGGTGAACACTGCTGAGTGACCGTGGCTGGCCACAGCTCCCAGCAGCCCCTTGCTTCCTGGATCTATTTGTAGGGCACTATACTAGAACTGTCCTTTTCCCCAAGGCCCATGATCTTTAGAGACGGCATATTTATAATAAGATGAGGTTTTCTGATAGTTTTCTTTTTCTGCATATTGGAATTCTGTTACACAGGGCTGTAACAGAGAACAGGGAATAAAAATGGCTTTTTCTTGAGGGCCTTACATTGTCATATTGTCATTATAATAACTGACTTAGATAAAGGATTGAATTTATATCAGTCCTGGAAGCTGGTGCTCCTCTACTGTGGCTGGTCCAAGGAGTGGTCTGAATTGATCTCTGTCTTACATTTTTGTGAGGACGGCATTTAGAAGGGCTTGAAATACTTTCACTGATCTTTCTTGACCCTATTTCCCGACTAAAATATCTTTTTTCGGGAAGGCCACTTAACTGTTGTCAGATTTTTTCAAGCTGAGATAAAGTTCACAGACCATAAAATTCATCATTTTAAAGTATACAATTCAGTGGTGTTTAGTATATTCACAATGTTGTGCTACTATCTCCACTATCTGATTCCAAAACATTTTCAACACTCTCCAAAAGAAAACCCATACCCTTCTGCAGTCACCCCCTTTCTCCCCTCCCCACGGCCCTAAGCAACCACTAATTCCTTTTCTGTCTATGGATTTGCTTCTTCTGGACATTTCATATTAATAGAATCATATACTGTGTGGTCTTTTGTGACGATTCTTTCACTTAGCATGTTTTTAAGGTTCATTTATTTGTACGAAGCATATATTAGTACTCTATTTCCTTTTATGGAATAATATTCAATGGAATAATATTCCATTCAATGGATCTATCACATTTTGTTTATTCAACAGTTGATAGATATTTGGGATGTTTCCACTTTTTGGCCTTTATGAATAATGCTGCTACGAACATTCATATACCAGCTTGTGTTTAGACGCACATTTTCATTTCTTTTCAGTATATATCTGTGAGCGGAATTGCTGGGTCATTTGGTAACCAACGTTTTGGGAACTGCCTGTTTTCCAAAGTGGCTGCACCATTTTACATTCCTTTCAGCCATGAATGAGGGTCTCAATTTCTCCACATCCTCCCCAACACGTTATTTTCCATTTTCTTTTTGAAAATTATAGGTACCCTTTGTCAGATACTCTTGCGTGTAAATGTATTGCTCTTCTAGCTCTTTCTGGCACATCCTCCAGAGGCGGGGCTGAGGTCTCCTGCCATCTTCCATATCTGGGAAGCATATTGGAGACAGGACCTTTTGTTTACCTGAGACCCTGAGTTTCCTTTGGATTGAACATTGTGTTAACTAAAATCATGCTTTCTGCAGGTAATCCAAGTCTGCTCCCCCACATCGACCTAGCTTTGGATTTCTCTGCTTATTGGCCTTTGAGAGAGAAGGATCTTTAACTATTCTGAGAGCTCTGGGCCCTCACCCGTGGAAGGCTTGCCTGCAGACTTGATCTTTTGGTGTCAATATGCTGTTTACTCTTAGGCTTTTGATAATTGTTTTCAAGTATCAGTTTACGTGCCCTTACTTCATTAAGACTGGGAAGGACCCAACTAATGGCAGTACCTCAAGGTCCCCGAGTCTGCGAATCAAGAAGAACTCAGTGGTCACAGACATGTTCACGCTTCCCTCTTGTGCCTTTGGGAACTCAGGATTCCCTGTTTGCCTGATTACTTAAAATGCTGCCTGGTAATCAAAGATGGGCAATGGAAACCAGCATTATCCAGCTCTAGCATTCCCCTTGTCCCACCATGCTCGGGAGAGCTGGACCAGTTTGTGAAAGAAAGTTGTAGTTCTTGTGAATGAACTTGTGGCAGAGGGGCTCCACCGAGGACCAGGCTCAGGATGAAATGAAGTCCTGGTTAGGGGACCTGGAGAATGAACGAAGGCCAACCTGCCCATCATCCCACCTGATGGAACCTTCCTTCCTTCTAGTCCTTGGGTCATCCCAGGGCTGGGCCTCACAGGCCAGCAAGAGTGACAGGTATTCAGAGAACAGCTGGGGAGGGCAAAGGCTAAAGCAGCTACTCTTGAAAGCCTTTGGGTGGTTCCAAGAGGGAACAAAGGTGGGGACAGGAGGAGAGGCCTGAGGAACTGAGTAAAGGAGCTTGGATTTTACATAAAGAATTAGGGAACTAAGATTATAAGAAAGTTTGGATGAAGTAGAGGTCATGTGACCACGTGATAGTAAGTGTGCCAAGCCAGAGACAGCTCTTAAAAGGCCTATCCCTGAGATATTATTAAGCAGATTTCTAGAGCTCAGTCATATGGCATCTGAGTCTATATTCAGTCAAGGTCCTTTAAAATCTCTGGTCCCCTGTTGGAAGCTGGAGCTGGCTGGTCATGTGTGGAGAGCATGGGACCTAGGGAAGGGGATGCTGATACTGGCTGAGTGATCACAATACAGGGGTGGGGTGGGGATGGAGCAGTCACCTGGAAGGGGCCCAAAAATGTCCCCCTCCTCCACAAACACTGAGCTGTTACTTTGGGCCTCTGGCTAAAATGCACAGACTGTTTTACTGGGTCTCCTTCCCTGGACAGTGAAGCAGCTGGCTAGGCCAGACTTCATTGTTTTCCTGATTCACACATTCACTGCTACTACCTCCAGCACACTGCTGTGTATAGACGACTGGTATACTGGGCAAAAGGAATAAGCCAATAGGACACAGGAGAAGCCAAGTGAGGAAATTAAGAAACTTTAAAAAAAAGGGATTGAGAACTCAAGTGTGCCGTAATTACACCATCTCAGAGGCTGGGCAGGAGAGAGCTGTTAGATCCAGTGAGGCCTGGGACCCCTAGGCTTTCGGGTGTGATATATCTAAGGATGCTCACCCTTTCTAGATAGTATCTGGAAACAGCCAGGCAGGAGCATTTTGAGGCCACAACAGTATTGCTTTAGGCCAGAGAAAGGGAGGGGAAACAGCAAGATGCTTTCAGCTATCAGTTTGTCAGATTTGTTCTTTTTGATGACTAGGGAGCTTCAGCCAGGGGCCAGGGCTGCAGTTCCCAGCACCTGGAGCTGTCAATAAGGATTCAGGCCAGATTCTCTAGGGCAGCTCTCAAAGATGAGGCTGGAATCAATCCCCATGCAATGAGGGCACAGCCAGCCTTCTTTTGGGTGAATATGTCTACCAGAGGGTGGGAGTCCCTGGGAATGAGGTAGAGCCCTCAGTTTTAATGAACACCCAGGGTGCTTATGGAATCTGAGGACTGGGTGCAACCGTGAGATATGAACTATTCCAGACCTGGCCTGACCACTTCAGTGTTGGGGAGCCCAGACTCAGCAAAGCCCACCCAGCCAACTGCCATCACAGGAAGGGGGTGGATTTCATAGAAAGAGTAACTCCAGGCAAAAATGGAAGCCCAGGCCAAATCAGGAGTCCCTTGCCCTTAGGGACGGCAAGAATCCTTCTAATGACCAGATGTTGGGACAGCTATGACACCTCACAATATTCCTCAGCTCTAGGAGAACTGAAGACCCTTCCCAATACATTTTACTTTGCTACAGGGGCTTCTTTCTTACTATTTCTTGTTCCTAAGTGACCATTCCAGGCAAAAGGATTCAGCGGGAAAAGTGAGAACATCATTGAGATTTACAACAGTCATATAGGGGCTTCTACCTCTTCCCACACATCTTCTTCCCTCTCCCTCGTCTTACCTTTTCTCTCTGGACCAGCTTCTTGTAAACGGTGTCTGGGAAGGACCTCAGGGGACAGAACTTGCCAGTGCCCTCAGCGCACATGAAGACACCATTCTCATACACGACCCGCCCCCGGCTGATGGTAACCAGCGGCACGCCATGACAGCGCATGTTCTCGTACAGGTTGAAGTCTCCTCCCTGAACCTGGGTGCTGGCTGAGATGGTCCTGGTGGGGAGAGGTAAAGATGCCACAGCTCAATGGGAAGGGAAGATTTTTTTTTTAAATGGGAATGTTCAGTGGGAAGGGATGATGCTTGGTGGGGAGAGGTGATGCTCAATGGGGAGGGGTGATGCTCAGTGAGAAAGGAAGATGCTCAGTGAGAATAAATGATGCTCAGT